TTCCTTCCTTCCTTCCTTTCTTCCTTCCTTCCTTCCTTCCTCTTTCTTTCTTTCTGCCTGTCTCTTTTTTCTTTTTTTTTTTGACACAAGGTCTTGCTTTGTTGCCCAGGCTGGAGTGCAGTGCCATGACCAATGCTCACTGTAGCCTCAGCCTCCCAGGCTCAAGTGATCTTCCTGCTTTGGCCTCCTGTGTAGCTAGGACTACAGGAATGTGCCGTCATGCCTGGCTTTTTAAATATATTTTTTGTAGAGACAAGGTCTCACTATGTTGCCCAGGCTGGCTTTGAACTACTGAGCTCAAGCAATCCTCCTGCCTCAGCCTCTCAAAGTGCTGGGATTATAAGCCTGAGGCACTGTGAAATGCCTACTTTGATGAATCTTACTGATAAAAGCCCATCTATGCATCCATACATTAATACTTGCAAAGCACAGAAAGACATACAACAGGACAACATGCACACATACATCAGTATATATATGACAGCTTCCCTGCACTCAAGAAGCTAGTGTGATCTTTTTTTTAAAAAATGAAACTTATAGGAAAAACTGTAATTCATCTTTGATTTATATAAAAATGTGTCATAATAAAGAAAAGACAGCTCATCCAACTGAGAAGGCATGCAAAAAAAAATCAAAAAGTCCCGAGAAGAATGTGAAATTTGGGAAGGTGATAGACAGTTCTTTGACAAGTGGAAAATGTTCCTCTGAATTCTATAAGAGTGCAATCTCTGGAAGTAGTGATTTAAGGGGGAAGTTGACCTGACTTCTTCAGAACTAACATTCCTCATTCTTTGCCTCTAGATACCGACTCATTGGTTCCTCGTCTGCCACATGCATCGCCTCAGGCAATACTGTCATTTGGGATAATAAAACACCTCTTTGTGAGAGTAAGTTGAAATATCCCTTCCTATTTCTTTTACCGATACATTCTAATTTTTCTCTGGAATAATAAAAATCTTAACCGAATTCTTTCTGTGCAATTTGTCCTTCACATGGCTGAAGACAGCTGGAAGGTTCTCGAATATTCCTCTGGGATTCCTGGCAACTCTTTCCTTAAGTTCTTTCTTATCCTGGGATGTGTCTTTTCTAATTCTGAGGGCATAAGTACATAAAAGCCTTCAAACTTAATTTTAGTTCAATAAATTTGAAATTATGTTGGTTCTACCACCTCCAGTATTATAATCATCCTGTTTGGCAAATCAGTAAAGATTTTTAAAATCGATACTCTTCAAGATTAGTGAAGCTGTGGAAAAACCTGGACTACCATATACCACAAAATCAACAGATCCTCTTGAAAGGCACCATACACCATAAACCTCAGAAGTGGGCATATATTTTAACCTACTTCTTAGAATTGATACTTAGGAAATAAACAAACTTCTTAAAGCAGTTTGGTGTAACCTTTTCATTGTGGCATTATTTATATTAGTTAAAATGTTAGAGTAACCTAAATGTTTTAAATTATGGTTTGGAAATGATCTACTAGAAAGAAAGATGTGTTCAAAATGACCACCATAAAGAATTCCCTAAGAAACATAAAATAACTTTGCAGAATAAAAAAAAAAAGTATACCCATACACCGGCATCTTATTCAGCCATAAAAATGCATAAAGAAGAACTTAAGGACTAGAAAGAAATGTGTTTTATGCGGAAAAAGAATCAGATGAACGGCATGTATAGCAAGATCTCATTTTATTAAAAAGTAGTACAGCTAGGTAGTGGAGGGCCAGTCTGAGGCTGAGAGAAGTACATTGTATAACACCTTACTGTTCTCGCTGCATAACTTGGAGACTTCTTTTCTTTTCTTCTTGGTATTTAAAAATGTTGTTACTTTTACTATAAAGTTTATGACCTTCAGAATCTAAGTTTATGAATGACACTGGTCACATATTTATTGCTGTTTATCCAGTTTAAGAAGTAGTTTTGCTATTTTGTAAAACAAATTGGGAAACTTCCTTCTTATTTGAAATGTGTAATAAGATAACATGGAATTGGAATAAGAATTTTCTTGGAAATATGAAAAAAAGTTATTAGTAAAATAGAGAAAACAAACAAAATAATACACCTATACCTATACTTATACCTGTACCTATACCTATATTCTCTGTTTCTAGTTCTGTAAACTCTCTATATCCAAATGCTGGTAAATGGCTTAAGTCTTCTTGGAGAAGGCTAGGGGAAGATTTATAATACATGCTTTTGACTGTGTAGTATGGTGCTTCCTCAAAAGGATCCAGTCTCCCATCCATTCATGCTGCTCTGAGTCTATAAACTGTTCAAGTCTAGGAATTGTTGATGTACAATGAACGTCTTTTGCAATGATTCAAGTCAGAATTCTATTCACTTGACCTAAATCTCTTCTACTCATACAAATCAAATAACACTTTAGTCGGCTATCCATCTACTTCGGTTTTAGAGACTCCATGATGAGTTAGCCAGTAACAAAGTTCTCTTCAGTCAAATCATTCTGATTGCTGTTTCAACTCTAATACCCATTACGAGAACCCCCATTGTCTGTGACAATTAAGTGCTACCACTTGGGCTCTGCCACCCTGAGGTCCTTCGATCCCCAAGTGAATTCGGAGAACCCAGTTCAATGGCAACAGTTCCCACTATCATTCCCAGCCTACAGAGAATGAGCTGTCACAGAGGATGCTGAAACTTCCCATGTGAATGTATTTCTCAAGCCTCAGGTAAAAGGTCTATCCTCTGAAGCCTCCACTCCTGCACTGTGCCTCACCAACTCTATCCAAGGATGACTTTCAAAGTGGAATGGCTGTTGTTTAACTTCTGCCTGTCAAATATCAGGCTAATTTCTCATGCTGTAACCCCAGTCCAGAACCATACAGAGAAAACTTAATTCCAGATTAGCCTGGTTGACACTTTACCAAACCACCAGATAATTATAATTTTATTTAACTCTTGGTCTTCTCTTTGTTTCCTTCCCTCCTTCCTTTCTGCCTCCCTCCCTCCCTCCCTCCCTTCCTTCCTTCCTTTTCCTTTCTTCTTTACCACACTGGCTAGGACCACCAGTATAACATTGAACTTTGGTAGCAATAGATGCCATCCTTGATTTGTTCCACATCTCAAAGAGAAAGATTAAAACATTTCACCATTAATCTGGTGTTTACTGTAGGCTTTTTGTAGATAACCATTTTTAAATTAAGGACATTCTCATATATTCTTCATTATTAAAAATTTTTGGTCTTTGAATCATGTTGAAGTTTATCAAACACTTTAGTTACATATATCGATGTAACCATATCTGTTTCTTTTTTTTCTGTTAATGTAACAGATTGTTTTGAGTACATTTTTGAAAGGCAAATGATTTTGAATTTTAAGTTTACATTCTTAAAATAAATCAACTTGGTCATAATATTTAATCACTTTTATATATGGCAAATATGCTTTTATAATACATTTTGGATGTTTCTATTAAAGTACAATTCATGTATCATAAAAGTTGCTCTTTTTAAATTACACAATTCAGTGGTGTTCAGTATATTCACACATTTATGTGTTGTGGTCTGAATCTTTGAGTCTACCCCAAACCCATATGTTGAAATCCTTACCCATAAGGTTATGACATGAGGAAGCGAGGCCTTTGGAAGGTGATTAGGTCATGAGAGCAGAGCCCTCACAAATGGGATTAGTGTCCTAATAAAAGAGGCCCAGAAGAGCTCCTTTGCCCCTCCCACCAGGGAGGAAATGCCGAATCTGCCAGAGCATTGGTCGTGAACTCTCCAGCCTCCACAACTATGAGAAATAAATTTCTGTTGTGTACAATACTATAAAACCAGTTTATAGTATTTTGTTATAGCAGCCCAAATAGACTAAAATATTAGGTAACCAGGACCGCTAATTAATTACAGAACACTTTCATCATCCCATTCCTATTTTAGAGATTAGACTGTAATTTTCTTTCTTGTAATGTCCTTACAAGATTTCAAGGACATTATGAAATACTACCAGCTGGCTTTATAAGACTGTCATAAGGTATCAAACTTATGACAGTCTTATAAAGCCAGCTGGTAGTGTTTCATGTATTTGTTTCCTTGGAAGGGTTTATGTAAGATTGGTATTATTTCTTCTTTAAATGTTTGAAAGAATTCACCAGAAACACCCTATGGCCTGGAGTTTACTTTGTTGGGAGGTCTTTTTTTTTTCCAACAATTTTTCCTATACCATGTATATTTTTCGCTTAAGTATAACATATATATAGTAAAGTGCACAAATCTGAATTAGGCAGTTCAGTGAATTTTTACAAAGTAAATGCATCCATGTACATGGCACTCAGATTAAGATATAGAACATCAACAACCCAGAAGCCTTCCTGATGCCCTTTCCCATTTATCTTCCCAAAGTAACCATTATTCTGATTTATAACACTAATAGTTTTGCTGCTTCCTAAATTTTATATTAAAGGAATCAAAAAATAGGTACTCTTGTGTCCAGCTTCTGTTCAGTGTTACATTTGGAAGAGTCAGTTTTGTTGCGGCATGAAGGATTGTTAGGTCTTTTTTATTATTATATTGGATTTCATTGATTATCTTGAGTACATTTTCATATGTTTGTGAAGTGCCTATTCTAAACTTTTGCCTATTATTTACTAGTCTGTCTATTGTTTCATTGCTTTGTAGAAGTTCTTTAAATATCCTCATATTTTCTAATAAATATAACACAAATATTTTCTTTCAGACTATGGTTTTTCTTTTCCCTTCTTAATGACGTCTTTTGTTGAGGAAGTTCTGCATTTTAATAGTATTCAATTTATGGATTTTTTTTTTCAGTTACTGCTTTTTTTATTCTACTTAAGCAATTGAGCCAGGAGAGGTGGCTCACGTCTATAATCCCAGCACTTTGGGAGGCCAAGGCAGGAGGACTGCTTGAAGCAAAGAGTTCGAGACCAGCCTGGGCAACAAAGCGAGACCCTGTCTCTACAAAAATAAAATTAGCTGTACTCAGTGGCACATGCCTGTAGTCCCAGCAACTTGGGAGGATGAGGTCGGAGGATCCCTTGAGCACAGGGGTTCAAGGCTGCAGTGAGTTATGATGGTGCCACTGCACTGCAGCCCAGGTGACAGAGTGGACTATTTCTTATGGATAGTCAATTGATCTAATAACTTTTATTAAAAAGACTATTCCTTGCATACTGCAATGCAATAGCACCATGCCCATAAGTCAGGTGACCTTATATGTTGATCTCATTCCAGAGAGGCTCTATTCCATTGGTTTATTTACCATACATTAGTTGTTATTGTTGTTTTCCATATTATAATGGCAAATAAACTATAGCATTACATTAAGATGTTAATTACTATAGCATTACATTAAGATTTTATATCTAGTGGCATATATATATATATATATATATATTTTTTTTTTTTTTTTAATGGAGGCTTGCTCTGTCACCCAGGCTGGAGTGCAGTGGTGCGATCTTGGCTCTCTGCAAACTCCGCCTCCTGGATGCAAGCAATTCTCCTGCCTCCGCCTCCAAAGTAGCTGGGATTACAGGCACCCACCACTGGGCCCAGCTAATTTTTGTATCTTTAGTGGAGACAGGGTTTCACCATGTTGGCCAGGCTGGTTTTGAACTCCTGACCTCATGATCCACCTGCCTCGGCCTCTCAAAGTGCTGGGATTACAGGGGTGAGCCACTGCACCCGGCTTTTTTGTTTGTTTGTTTCTTTTTGAGATGGAGTCTTGCTCTGTCACCGAGGCGGGAGTGCAGTGGCCAATCTCAGCTCATTACAACCGCCACCTTCTGGGTTCAAGTGAGTCTCCGACCTCAGCTTCCTGAGTAGCTGGGACTATAGGTGCATGCCACCACACCTGTCTAATTTTTGTATTTTCAGTAGAGACGGGTTTTACCATGTTGGCCAGGCTG